ACCCAAAGTTGGTTTGAAACAACCCAGCATTTTTTAGAGTGTATGCTGTATTAACCCAAATAAATTAGGTTAGTCTTGTATTTTGTCCATTTGTTCTTGCTTAATAATAAATGCTCATCTTTTGATTATTGCTGTTGCCTCTACTAATTCTGTGTGTGATTTTTAATCTCCAGCAATATAATAATTTATAAACAATAGTTGACTTAAATAAAACAACCCAGCATGTTGGGTAAAAACATTTAACACAACCAGCTGGGTCAAAATAACCCAGCATGTGTTCTGTCCAAAAATGTACCCAGCGCTGGGTTGTCAAATAACCCAAGTTGGGTTGTTTTTAACTCAGCATTTTTTAGAGTGTACATTGAATGTAAAAGAGATGAATGTAAAAGAGGTGTTTTCGCATGTTTACCTATGAGATATGGGAAAAGTATCATTTTTCTTGGCTTACCCTTTGTCAACATACGAAAGGATTGCACAGTGATCTACTTTTATTAGCTGTATGTCCTTTCACATCTCACATCAAGTTCAGGTGAATACCTCACTGAAAAAGCCATATCAACAACATATGAGGTTAAATATGAAAGTACAGATGCTGACATCACAGCCAATTGATTTAGTATTGCATTATGATCATCTGAATTGCTTGTGGGCACTAAAAAAGTGGGGAGACATGCTACAACAGATCACGTGTACTATGAGCTGAATGGCTGTTGATGAAGTACATACAGTTGGAATAATTGGTGCTTATTTGTTTTAGATGAATTCAAATTCTGAAAACAAACTTGAGAGACATTTCCGTCATTTCAAATTTTTTTTTATGCAGAATGTAGCGCCATTATTCCCTATGCTTTAACATACATGCCAATCTTGAATGAATGGCGTATGGTTGTTTTTGTCATATTACAGCTAAAAAGCTAATAAATACTACTGGAAAAAAGAACTACACTGTATTTTTTTTTTCAAAGTTGTATATAAAACAGATTATTAGAGTAGATTTTCAGTCTTTCTACTTCCAAATTTCACATTTAATTAAAGGTGTCATATGATGTATTGTGTATTTGGTGTAATGAAATATATTTATGCGGTTTAAGGTTCAAAAAACACATTATTTTCCACATACTGTACATTATTGTTTCTCCTCTATGCCCTGCCTTTCTGAAACGCATTGATTTTTACAAAGCTCATCGTTCTGAAAAGCGAGATGTGCTCTGATTGGCCAGCTATCCAGTGCGTTGTAATTGGCCGAATTCCTCAAGCGTGTGACGGGAATGTTATGCCCCTTACCATACTGTGATGCCGTGTCCCGGCGCGACGAGACAAAACCAATAAAACTCATTACAAACGAGGCATTTGTTTCATCCAGTGGGGACATAATTACAGGTGCATCTCAATAAATTAGAATGTCGTGGAAAAGTTCATTTATTTCAGTAATTCAACTCAAATTGTGAAACTCGTGTATTAAATAAATTCAATGCACACAGACTGAAGTAGTTTAAGTCTTTGGTTCTTTTAATTGTGATGATTTTGGCTCACATTTAACA